GGGCAAATGTCAGCTGTGTGCAGTCTGTGGGGATTACAATATTATTCACCTGGACGTGGCCCTCATTGTCACCATGGTCTAGGAAGGCCGTATGGGTATGATGCGGGAGGAATGGTTTACATCTGTTCTTAAACAGCATCAGATCACTGCTCCAGAGATAGTTACTATGAGCAATTATAAATGCTTCCATTCCTTTGGGGAAAAACCTTCTTTCATTTATTCAGCAAACATTTCTTCAGGGTTGATTACATGGCAGGCACCATGCTAAGTGCTAGGATACCAAAGTCACCGGATAGATCTTAGCCTTAAGATCCATAGGTGCCTTTAATTTTCAGGTTTCTTGTGAATATAAAAAGTGTATCTACCATTTAAATATCTGCTCCCTGTGAGGAGTGTCAAGTGCTTTCTGCATGCAAAGGGATATCTCTATGGTGGGAAGAAGCTAATACAGTCAGATCCATGTTATAATGGAGAAACTGAGGCAGGTTAAATCTTGTGAAAGACTTTGTAGTCACTGGTAGAGGGAGGAGAGCAATCAGGTGTCAGAACAGAGCAATCGGGACTGGAATTAGAGTCCTGGACTTGAGACTTGACTCAGGGTGATGCTGGGAAAATCTCTTACCCTCTCAGGGATATTGTTCCTTCATTTATAAAATTAGAAATCATCTCTGCCCCTACACAGTGTTGTTCTTATTATCAATACAGTGTACTTCATTTTCATCATTTTAAGCCATATTGATTTTTAAAAGCACAGTCAATTAATAATAATAGCACTTTCATTGGAGAGGGTAGACACAAGACTCATTTGGATTTCACAGACTGAAATGTATGTGTGTAGAAGGGGGAAGATGTGAACCTTATAATCAATGTTATCTAATGAATAAAGGTGTTTTAAACTAGAAAACCCCAATTTTATTACTGCCCTCTCTCCTTAGACTCTTAGCCAAACAGTCACACATAAGAGGATCAGGCATAGATCACTGGTTATATCACAAATATAAGAAGCAATGCTTTGTCAGAATTCTTTTGTATGATGATATAAAAATAATTCTATTTACTTGGAGCCCAG